GAGGGAGGGCGAGAACCAATGGCATGTTTATGTGTATGTGTACGTATGTAAAGTCAATATGCTCATCATGTTTAACAATGGGAGCTAGTACTAGGCAACATGGAGGAAAATACCCACGTGTTTTTGAATCATGAGACCAGAGGAATGATGTGTGGAGCTAATAGGAAATCAGCTTAATATGGTACAGTTTTTGAATTCCTTAGGCTGCTACAGGGATCGAGAGGGAGGCTGAGGAGGTCAGGCTTAGACATCCGCCACCCCAGTTCAACTAAGACAGCTTTGTTCTATAAGTTAGGATTTCACAGGAAATTTTTTACTGAGAAATAAAAAGGTTGGGATTCTACTGTAAAGGATGGAAGGAAGAAAGGAAGGAAGGAAGGAAAGTAGGTAAATATATACCTACTTATATAAGCAGGCATACATGCAGACAAATAGATCCAAAAATCACAGGGAGAAGAAAATGTATCTCCCAGGGATTATGAGACCTTGGAGCTGCCAGCATCTGTTGTTGACTTTGTGATTGTGGGCACACTGCTTTACCTGCCAGGGCCTCAGCTCTCCCATAGGAGAGAATGGTGGTGTTGGAGCCATGTCTCCCTTAGTGCCATGCAATGCTGTTGTGAGGGTTAGGAGAGATTGTATGTACAAATATGCTTCTCACTTGGGAAGTGCTGTGTAAACACAGGTGATTTTTTGGTATGTTTATTTTCTCTCCTCCTTCCCTACAAGGAAGTCTTATGGGGGCAGCATTCTTACCTCCTCCAGTGGGAACATTTGAGAGGTTGACCTATCGAACACCAGTATCTGGGCCACTGTGCACTGTTGTTCAGGCTGGGCACTGCACAAGCCTGCCCAGCCAAGAGAACAGATGGGAACTGAACTCTGACTCATGCTCTGTATGCTGCCAGCCCTGGTTCAGGTATGGTGTGCCAGGTGCAGGACCATTCTCTAATTCATACTGAAGCATGTTGGGGCTAGGGAGGCTTTGGCAGTGACATGCATTCACTTCTCACAGAAGCAGAGTAAAGAGATCCAAGGATGAGTTTCCAGTTCTGCCTTTCATTGCTTGCCAGCCCTAGAGGTGCCCTTAGCTGTTCAGGAGGAAAAGCAGCCCATTGTATAGATGTCTCTGAACATCTCAGGAAGGCAGCAAGTTGCTCCTGCTGCCTTTCACCTTCCCCATGGAAATTCGCAGTGGTGAACCTGCCCAGCAGCTCTGATTAAATTGAAAAGTGCCGCTCCCCTGAGATACCATTTTCCCTTGTCCGATTGGCAAAAATTCAAAACACTTACAATATGCCTGGGGCAGGGCTGTGGAAAACAACATTCTTGAGATGGCTTTGCTGGTAGGAATATAAAATGGCATAGCCTCAGTGAAGAATTCGTCCCCGTCAGATAAAACTGCAAAGATATCTACCCTATGACCCAGCTGTCCCACTTTTAGGGACTGATCACAGAAATCTGCCATGCATGCACAAACACAAGAGCATTCACTGTGGCAATATTTATAATAACAAAATAGTAGAAAGAGGTCAAACGTTGATCATAAGAGATTGATTGCATAAATTATGGTCTATTCATGAAGTGGAGTACTTTGCAGCCTTTAAAAATAAATAAATAAATAAATAGAGGGAGATCTCTGTGAACTAATGCGGAGGTATTTCCAGGATTTCTTGTAAAGTGAAGAAAGAAGTCTATTTAGAAATATACCACATTCTGTGTAAGAAATAAGAGAATATTAAAAATAGGCCTATGTATTTGCTTACACAGCAGGACAAACTAGAAACAAATGAAAATGGTAAAATAAAGGTATGGAGGAGAGAAGGACAAGAATAGGGCTTCTCTGAGTGCAACTTTCGACTTTTGAACCCTATAAATGCTTTGTGCATTCAAAACTGTAAATTTAAAAAAAGGATTTCTGAAAAAAAATTAACACCTAAAATTAAATACAAAGAAAACCAAGTATGCTGCTTATCAAATTGATAACTACAGAGAGAAACTTATGAACATGTACTCTGATCATACATTTTTAACAGCTCTATTGAATTATATACCATACGGCTCACCCATTTTTAAAGTATACATTTCATGCAAATCAAAACCACAAATATCATCTCACCCCAGTTAGAATAACTATTATTAAAAAGGCAGAAAATAACAGATGCTGACAAGGATGCAGGGAAAAGGGAACTCTTATACACTTTTGGTGGGAATGTAAATTAATACAACCACTACGGAAAACAGCATGAAGATTTCTCAAAAAACTAAAAATAGAACTACCATACCATTCAGCAATCCTACTACTGTGTATTTGTCTAAAGGAGAATAAATCAATGTAGCAAAAGGATACCTGCACTCCCATGTTTACTGCAGTGCTATTCACAATAGCAAAGATACAGAAGTAACCTATGTGTCCACCAGTACACGCATAGAAAAAGAAAATGTGATGTATAATATATAGTGGAATACTATCCATCAATAAAGAAGAATGAAATTCTGTCATTTGCAGCAACATGTATAGAACTGAAGGACATTATGTTAAGTGAAATAAGCCATGCTCAGAAAGAAGATGACTGTAGGAGTCTCTCCTGTGTGGGAACTAGAATACTTGATCTCACGGACACAGAGGATAGAATGATAGGTGCCAGAGACTGGGAAGGGTGGGTGAGTGGGAGTGGGGAATGAAGAGAAGTTGGTTAGTGGGTACAAACATACAATTAGATAGAAGAAATAACCTCTAAGGTTTGATAGAATAGGGTGATGATACTAGGCAACACTATTTTGTGTATTTCAAAATAACTAGAAGAGAGGACTTGAAATGATACCAACACATAGAAATGACAGATATTCAAGGTGATGGGTACCTCAAATACCCTGACTTGATTGTTACACATTCTGTGCACCTAACAGTTACATGTACCTCATAAATATTTAAAATGGTATATATCAATGAAAGAAAAAATACATTTCAGCAGTTTCTATTATATTTAGAGTTATGCAATCATCATTATAATGTAACTTCAGAACTTTTTAATTATTCGCAAAAGGAATCTCATACCCATTTGCAAGTCCCTCCCACTATCCTCCCCACCCTGGCTGCCAGCCCTAAGAAACCACTGATCTACTTTCTGTCTTCTGACCATATATCTCTTTAGTGAGATACATTTTGATGACAAAAATACTAAACATTTTTAACAGCTTTATTGAATTATATACCATAAGGCTCACCCATTTTTAACATAAACAAATAACATAAACAAAAGCCTTGGAAAGAAATCTCAAGTTGTGTGTAGCAGGTTTATTGTTAGTGGTAATATTGTGATTAAAACTGTTACACCATCATATGTGTATTATAGCATAAGGCAGATGAATATATTTATTATTACTATTATTCAGAACAAGATTTTTACTGTAAGGAAAAAATGTACAAATACAAAATAAGTGAAAGTAATGAAAACCTTATTTTATGAATAAGAGACATCAGTATGAACTTATGAAAAAAAATTCTAATTCTATCCACTGAAAGGATCTCTTTACGACTCCTCTGCAGCAGTGAGCACACCTAGTACCTAGATCTTGATGTCTCCATGTGATTCTCTATGAAAAGCAAACAGAGCTTGTTGAAGAAATGTTTGATTCCAGAGCTGGATAAAGGAAAGTAAAAAGTCATTGGCGACTTTTTTGTGTCCAGAAAGCAAGGAAGTGCTCAATGGAGGTCTCATTAAAAGGACACAAGAAATTATACTTCCTGGCCAAATTTGGGACAATTTAAGTATTCCAAAAAATGGTGATGGTAATGGATAATCACAATTCAGTTAAAAATTACAAAAACAAGTGTATGGAAATATTAACAACAAGGGGGTGAGGCTGGGTGACATGAGGACAGCTCTTCTTTACAAAAGAATGCCTGCTGATACACGGAGAAGAAATGACAGAATTAGAAAATTACCATGTTGCGACCCCCAGTGGAATAATTAATTTGGGCAAAAATCATCGCTGGATGCTAAAACCATTGTGTGAAACATGTGGGCACTACAGGCACATGGTCTCAAAGTATCGTGACACTTTGAGTATCATTTCACGGATCTTATTACAAAGTGAGGGAAAATACCTTTATAATGTAGAGATCCGTAGGCCACCACCTTAACCCAGTGATCAAGGTTGGCATCACCATCAGCGGGACAGTCTGACGTATGTGCCTGCTAATGGGATGCATTAAGGTGTTTGTAACATCATTCATGTAGTGTTCCTGCCAAAAATATTTAATTAGAATCTAATTATGAGACAACAACAAATCCAGAGTGTGAGGCATTCTATAAGACAACTGGCCAGGGCTCTTCAGAAAGAGCCAATATTATAAAACACAAACTAGTATGCAAAAATATCAGGGTGTGTTTTACACTTAAAGGACTCAAGAAATGTAACCACCAAATTAATCGTGTGAACATTGATTAGACCTTGGCTTTTGAACAAATTCTATAAAAGATACCGTGGGACAACTGGGGATATCTGAATTGTAGGCTGTCTATGAGATGTTATTTTTGAATGGTTAATTTTCTTAGGTGTAATAATATTGTGGTTATGTAGGCGAATATCCTTATTCTTAGAAGAGTGTTGAAGCAGTTAGTAGTGGTGTGTTTTAATGTCTACAGAATAATCTCAAATAGTGGAGCAACAATAAATATAAATACAGAAAGAATGAGAAATCAAATATGGCAAGATGAGTGTAAGTGAAGGGTGATGGGTGTTCATTATTTTATTTTTTATAACTTTTCTATAGATTTGAACATTTTTTTTTCTTTTTTTGGGGGGGATGCTGCCAAATAAGGAGTTGCAGGGAGAACTTTAAACTTGCTGAAGGTGGTCCTCATATGTGGGGAAGGCTTCTCCCATCTGCCTTTCTGGTGGTTCTGGCTGGGCCATGCCATCTCTTCTGCCATCTGATGCTCTCTGACTCCTTCCCAAGCTGAGACATCATCTCCTCTCTTGTTTCCACTCAGGTGAAGACCCCCTTGTGGACGATCAAAATGAACGAGATATCAATTCAGTTGCTGGTGTTTTAAAACTCTATTTCCGAGGACTGGAAAACCCACTCTTTCCTAAGGAAAGGTTTCAAGATTTGATATCTACTATTAGTAAGTATTTCCCAGGTTAAATGATCAGTTCTTTGACAAATCACTGTTGGAGCTGAGCCACAGGCTCATTGCTGTGCTAGGCATAGAGGAGGAATATTATGAAAGAAGTGTAGCCTGCATCCTCATAGAACTGAAAGCGGAAATAATAAGATAATTTATAATGAAAGGGCTCATGGGCATGGCACACACCCTGGGTAGAGAAGAAGCTCAGAGGAGAACCAGAGGAAGACTTGGTTTCACAGATCAGAGCCAAGAGAGTGCTGGGAGCAGAGTGTTCTGTCCATGGTGCGAGAGGTTGGAAGGGGAAAATGGAGCAAGATGGGGAAGACCTTGAATGCCTTGCAGACATTCCAGAGCTTTTCCCCTTGGGTGATGAGGAGCCATGGAAGGTCTAGAGGTCAGGTCATCAGCATGACCAGCAAGGGAAATGGTGAAAGTAAGTTGACTGGGGATTCTCGCTGACCTTGCTGGTTAGTTGTAAGAAGCTGTTATGTTTCTGTGGATAAAATCAGGAGGAACCTAGTCTAGAGGGCTGATGTCATGGCACCTTGACTGTGAGATACCCAAATCCAAAGTAACCTTTTAGAATATTTTTTAAAATAAGCTTTTAACTTTAGAATATTATCATTTTAGTCATTTAGAATAAACTTTTAAATTTGATTCACAGAAAAGTTGCCCCACACCCAGTTTCACTTGAGGTGTTTCTCACAATACTCTGAGAGATATTTGCAGCCAGGAAAGTGTCCAGGAGATGACAAGAGAAGAGAGAGGTTTGAGCTCTCTTTTATTGTGTGTGTAAAAGACCCTTCTGTTCCCTCTTCCCTCCACACTATCCCCTGCTCATCTTTCCAGACTTCTATACTGCAAGCTCTATTCTAGAGTGCTAAGGTCTGACCCTGCCTGAGCCCTGTATCACTTGCTCAGCCAGTGTTTCCAGAACCCTCAAAAATCCTGTTCCTGTACAGGGCCCTTAGCAAATTTCAGGTGTAGGATGACTTGGAAACAGGGGTCAGAGATGAGATCCCAAGCATCTGCCAGACTTTGACTGATAGGTAGCTTGAGAGGTGGTGATATATTCGATGTTCATTTCCTGAGCAACTACTATGTGTCAGGCCTGTTCTGCAGCTGGTGTTTGTAAAGAGTTTAATACAACATGGTCCCTGCTTGTGTCTGTCAGGACTCACAGGTACCAGAAACCCAGCTTAAACCTGCTTACTTCATAAAAGGGAATGCATTGGTTCAGGTACCTGAAAAGCTTAGGACCAGGAGGACTCAGACCCTCGCACAGCATCAGCAGACATATGCCCCCTCCATCTCTATGCCAGCTTCACTCTTAGGTGGGATCCTCCTCTCAAGGGCCCCCACCATGCTCCAGGTTTCCCTCCACCCAGATCCAAGAGGGCACCTCCCTGTGGGTTTCTTACAACCAAAGTCCCAAGAGTCGACTCTGATTGGTTCTTGATTAGGCCACACCCCAGCCTCCTCCCTGTAGCGGGGGAGATGGATGCTCTGATTGGCCAGGCCAGGATCACCTGTGATCCCCAGAATCAAGGGTAGAGCTGGCTCTTCCATCCAGGTGGGCTGAATATAGGAGGTGTGGCCTGTGAACATTTGCTGCATTGCTCCCTAAGGATGAAAGGCATGCTGAAAGGCCCCTTTGTGTTACAGAACTGGAGAACCCAGCTGAGAGGGTGCACCAGATCCAGCAAATCCTCGTCACCCTTCCCCGTGTGGTCATCGTGGTCATGAGATACCTCTTCGCTTTCCTCAACCAGTGAGTACCTGCCCAAGGGGCCCATTTTTGACTCAGGCCTGGCCTCCTTTGGGAGGGGGTATCTTGAGACTTTTGCAGATACTGTTTTTAAAGGAGAACATGGAACCCTCCTGGATTTGTTTAGAGTCCCCTAAAAGACAGAAACCACAGGGGGAGGACTTGCCTTTCCCAGATGACTTGTGGGTAACTCCTCTCTCCTAGCCTCTCCCAGTATAGCGACGAGAACATGATGGATCCCTACAACCTGGCCATCTGCTTCGGGCCTACCCTCATGCACATCCCCGATGGGCAGGACCCTGTGTCCTGCCAGGCACACATCAATGAAGTCATCAAAACCATCATCATCCATCATGAAGCCATCTTCCCCAGCCCCCGGGAGCTAGAGGGACCTGTGTATGAAAAATGCATGGCTGGAGGGGAAGAATATTGGTAAGATGCCATTGCTCTTAATACTGTTATTATTATCATCATCATTGTTGTTGCCACTGAACAGGAACAATAAGAAACCCTTCAGTTTTCTTAGTGCTTGATAGTCAGTGCTTCCATATACATTTTCTCATCTGAGCTTCACAGCAGCCTCACATGACAGGTAGGTACATCAGTTAGGATTCTCTTGGTTACAAGGGACAGACATACAACTCAAATTGCCTTAAGCCAAATGAAATTTTATTGGTTTGCTTAAGTGAAAAGTCTGGGAATATGTCTTCAGGTATAGCCTGATCCAGGGGCTCAACTATTACCAGAAGGACTTGGTCCTGCAATCTCAATCCCTTGACCCTGCTTTATCCTGTGTTGGCTTTGATCTCAGACAGCCTTTTCCTTGGTGGTTGCAAGCAGGCAGCCAGCAACTTAAGATCTATAACTTACTCTCTTATCATCTTCAATAGAAAAAGACGCTTTCCTTCCCATATGTTCCAACACAAACTCAAGAATTGTGTTTCATTGCTGAGGTTTGGGCTTGGTGAAGTAATCTCCTTGGTAAGGAGATGCAGTGCTTTAACTGGGCCATGTGAGTCACAAGCCCATCTCAGGATGCGGGGGAGTGAATAGTCCCCACCTCAACTTCAAGAACTGAGTGTGACATTTTCCACCCTTGTCTCCTCTCACCTAGGAGTTATTTTTTCCAGACAAAGTGAGCGCAATTTCTTTGCATGTTCAACATCATGTCAACAATCACTAGTTGGGCACCTCTGTGTACCTGGTATACCTGGTACTACACTGGGTCTTAGGAGAAATGTTTTAGAACCTTTTCAAAGTCAGAGCTTTGAAAGCTTCCTCAGGCTAAGACCTTAAATTGGGAAGACAGGAAAAAATGTTTAAATGTGGTGAAGACAGGGAATTCAGAACACTAAATGACACAGACCAAAGCATTTCTACTATTTCTTTATTTCGAATCCAGGAGAGCACACAGTTATATATTTAGGTATTACCCACACTGCCTTCAGCCAGGTGCCTACAGGGGAGTTTGTTTTTTGATTGTCAAAGCATTCCTGGACCTTTGGATTGCCTTAGTACTGTGAGCATATTTGGGCAGCTGCTTCAAAGAAGCAAGGCGTTCCAGCCTTTGTGTTTCCTTCCCACCTGCCTCCCTGCATAGAAATACTGGGTCATAGTGGTGTCTAATCACAGCTCTCTAATCTCGTTTGAGGCACTAGGGGGCAAGTCCATCCCTGTTCTGTAACAGAAACATTAAACGGCTGGCAAGCATAATTTCTGGACAAAGAGAAGCTTTTGACACAGTTTTTGCAACCACTACCAGTTCTCTTTTCTTGCTGCAATATATATAATTAGTGTTCTGAGAAGGGACCCACAGATCTTCGTGTACTTATCAAAGAACAATATACAATAACCATGCTTTTCTTAATCCTATTTGTTTTCCACAAGACTGTAAAACTATTAATTACATGGTAATTTTGGAGTTTTCAAAACCAAAAAGGGAGACTTGGCTGAGGGTCTTAGCACAGTAGACAACATTCATTCATTCAACAAATGGTAACTGAGCATCTGTTGTAGGCTGGTTCTGTGCTAGGAGTCAGGGATGTAACCAAACAAAATTGACCCCTGGTGCAGGAGCTCTGATGGAATAGGAAACAGAGGGCTCCGGAAATGGGTCTCCCTGAGCCAATCTAGGGAAGTCAAGAAGGGCTTCCTGGGGGAAGTACAGACTGAGCTGAGACTGCAGAATGAACTGGAGCTAGCCCAGTGAGGAGCGGGCAAAGACCTGGACGATTCAGTAGCATGAAAAGTGGTTCAGTGTGGCCACATATGTCAGCATGTGTGACAGGGGAATCATGAAGGATGAGGCTCCACAGGTTGGATAGAGCCAAGCTATGAAAAATCTTGGAAGCCCTTGAGTTTGGTCCTGATCTAGGTGGCAGTGGAGAATTTTTCATAATAAAGTGCATATTCCTTTAAATGGCATTGCAAATGTCACCTCCTTTGAGAAGCCTTCCCTGATCACTCTTTATAGGTCCCCTCTGCTGTTCTTGTCTCTACACATTAATTTCCTACATAACACTATTTCAACTTGCAACTGCCTTATTTAATGGCCTGTTTACTTGGGCTTTTTTCTTGTCCCTCTCCCTACAAGGTAAGCAACGTGAGGCCAGGGCCCTTGTCCACCTTATCTATCATTGCATCCTTCCTACGAGCACACTGCCTGGCATATTAGAACTCACTCAGTGGCTCTATAAAAAACAACTGGCTGGCTATGTTAATTAACCCTTGCCTGAAGAAGCTTATAATCTAGCGAGGGGGTAGTAGCTGGTGAAATTCTACCACAACATTAACAACTGAATCTGATGGATCAGCTTACTCAGCTACCATGCCCATCATGGTTGCCAGTCACTCTCACTACCTGCATCAATGGGAGCTTTTGCACGCAGAAAGACGGGGTGGCCCTTGTTAGCATCGTCTTACCTCCTGGGATGTGTCGCCTTAGCTATAAGACAAGAGAGTCAGGCCAGGTGAAATAACTTATGGTACTTCAAAGGGTTCTTTTTCTTCTGGCCTGTGGTCCTTCCAATGACAAATGCTGGGGTTTTGCTACTGCCCTCTTGATCTTACGGAACATGTAAGCATTGACAGTCGTCACCACGACAGTCCAGCAAATTCCAGGGCTAGGAGGGCACTAGGGGTGATTTTTGGGAAACTTTACAAGGAAGAGGCTGGGAGTAATTTTCTGATAGGAAGATCCCTGGAGTGGTTAGATGGAAGAGATAGGATGGTATAGGCCTGCATCTGAGCTGCGGGAGGGCCCAGAGACCAACTGGACTGGTCTGAGAGTCTAAAGATGCTATGAAGGTAGATAACCTTCCAGTGAGTCCCCTTCCCATGTTTCCTTGCAGTGACAGCCCACACAGCGAGCCAGGGACCATCGATGAAGTTGACCATGACAATGGCACTGAGCCTCATACCAGCGATGAAGGTGAGTGAGGGGGATCCTGGGGACAAGAGATTCTTCCTCTGGCCTCTCACACTGACTTATGTCAGCCCAACCACAGGGCTGGCCCACGTAGACCCCTTCAGCTTTACAAGTCAGCCATCTCTCTTTCAGAATAGATGAAGACCCAGAAAAACCTTCAAGGCGTTCCCCAAGTCCCAGTATGGGCCTGACACAGAGCAGATCCTTGTAGGCTCATGCTGTGTTCACCACATCCCACATCCAGCCCACTTCATTACTTAATGTGTCCTGCCTGGCCCAGGCACAAGTCCTAAGTGACACAAGTTTCCTAAATGGGAAGCAAGCTTTGTCCCTCCATCCTTCCCCCGTGTGGATCTGTTTTGCGCCAGGCCTGTGCTGGGACTTGGGTGTGGGGATGAACCAGATGTCGGTCCTTGAGGAACTCCCCGTCTGTCACCAGATCTTGACAGGCTGGAAGTAGCTTCTCATGGTGCAAAGCGATAATGTCGGATTACAGGTGTGTCTGGGAAGTGTGTGGTGAGAGAGAGAGAAAGGCCAGCCAAGACCTTTCACCAGATTCCTCCACCCCTTCCAGACAAGAAGAGAGTTGGACTGGTCTTTAGGGAAACTGGACTGCATAGACAAGCAATCTGAACGATATGCCAACTTATCAAACATCAGGCAGAGTAGGCACACTGCCAAGGGCCCATGGTACTTGTAGAGGTCCACTAAAATGTTTTCTTTTAAAATCAGAAAAAAATGAATACAATATCTAGTCTGGATTATATTTGTCTTTATACCAAGGCAGTTGTAAAATATAATTTTTGAATGGAGGAAGGGACCCATGCAGGCAAAAATGCCTAGGATCCAAGAAAGTTAGAATACAGCCTGAGATGCACCAAGCGCCTGGGATAGTTTTCCTTGTAAACATCATGGCTTAGCAGTTCTCTGACTTGTCCTTTGAGTTTCTCTTGTGGGACCAGGTTATGTTGGCCACCACATTTGTCAGGAGAGCAGGCAGGCACTCAGGTGACAGTTCTGGAAACTGGTAAAAGAGAAAGACTGATAGATGGGTTTTCACATTCTAGTAGGACTATTTCAGTTGCTAATGATATAACCCCCAACTCAAATTAATTTCAACTTAAAAGGGAATAAGTTCCTATACCTGAAAAGTCCCAGGGTTGGCATGGCTTCAGCTGGATCCAGGAGCAAGGGTGATTTGGTCAGCACTTTGTCTTCTTGCTCTGCTTCCCTCTGTGCTGGCTTCATTCTCGTGTAGTGGTCTCTGGCAATTCCTGGCTTTCACCATCCTCCTACCCAAAGTCTCAATGGAAAAGTGCTTCCTTTCTATAATGTTTTCAAGAGAGGTCCTGGGGTGGAATCTCACTGGACTATCTTGAGTCATGCACTCAGGCCTGATCCAGTCCCTGTGGCCTGAGAGGGAGCTAATGGTCCAGACCTGGGTCACAGGTACAGAAAAGCAAATCCAGATGTCACATTCAGCTTGATCAGACTCCTGAGAGGCTAGAGTCATCCTGAACTGAGATGTGTCCTGCAGAAGATTTGTTTGGAGATGGGAGGGCTACACCTTCCGCTTATTCGTGGTGATTTGCTTTTCTCTTTCCTCCTTTTTCACTTCTGCCGACCACCTCCAGTTCTCCCCTTCCCTTTATCCCTTTTAATAGCCCCCACCCCATCCTCTCCATCTGTTGCTCTTTTTATTTCTGGGTCTCTTTCTGTCTGACTCTTTATCACTCTCTCTAGCTTCTTCTGTCTCTCTCTCTCTCCCACTCCTGACATTTCCTCTCTTTTGTCTTGACTGGAGCACCTGCCTTCCTGGGGACTGAGGTCCCTGTCCGTGCCTTTGCTGGTTTTTCCACAGCTCCTGGGACTGATGGGCAGAAGGCAGCTCTGGACACCAGGATTGAGGATGAGGAGAGACGGAGAGAATATCCAAGAGTCCTTTGCCAAATTCTAGTTCATGAAGATGTATTCCTGTATTTACTTTTAAGAGTTTTAGATCTTACATTTAGATCTTTGATCTACTTTGAGTTAATTTTGGTATAAGGTAATGGTCAAACTTCATTGCTTTGTATGTGGCTCTCCACTTGTCCCAGCACTATTAGTTGAAAAAATAATTCTTTTCCCCATTGAATGGTCTTAGCACCCTTGTAAAAAAATCCTTTCACTATAGGTGTATGGGTTTATTTTTGGACTTGCAATGCTATTCCACTGACCTATATGTCTATCTCTGTGTCAGTGCTATACTGTCTTTATTACTGTTGCTTTGTAGTAACTTTTGAAATTGGGATGTTTAAGTCCTCCACCTTTGTTCTTTTTCAAGATTGTTTTGGCTATTCTGGGTTTTTTGCAATTAGATATGAATTTTAGAATCAGCTTATCAATTTCTACAAAGAAGTAGGCCAGGATTCTGATAGGGATTGCATTAAATCTGTAGTCAGTTGGAAATATTACCATCTTAGTAGTGTTAAGTCTTCTGATCTATAAACATAGGATGTTTTGCCAATTATTTAGATCTTCTTTAATTTTTTCAACAGTGATTTGTAGTTGCCAGAGTTTGAGTTTTGCACTGCTTTTGTTAAATTTATTCCTCTGCAGTCTTAATTTTACTTTTGAATTGTTTATTATGAGTGTATGGAAATATAATTGGTTTTAATATATTTCTCTTGTATTCTGCAACCTTGCTGAACTTATTCATCCAGTCAAATAGTTTTTAGTGATTTCCTTATGATCCTTTTAATATATAAGATTATATTATTATATATAAATAGAGATATTTTTACTTCTTTTCCAATTTGGATACTTTTTATTTCTTTTTCTTGCCCAATCGGCCCAGCTAGACTGTCCAGTACAACATTGAAGTGATGAGAGTGGACATCCTTGTCTAACTCCTGATCTTATGGGGAAAGCATCCAGTTTTTCACCATCAAGTATGATGTTAGCTATGAGTTTTTCATAGATGTTAGCTATAAGTTTTTCATAGATGCCATTTGTCAGGTTGAGGAAGTTCCCTTTTATTCCTAGTTTGTTGAGTGTTTTATCTTGAAAGGATATTAGATTTTGTCAATGCTTTTTCTTCATCTATTGAGATGATTGTGCGCTTTCTGTTTTTATTTTACTGATAAGATGCATTACATTGATTAATTTTGTTTAGATGTTAAATTAGTTTGGAATAAATTCCACTTGTAGATAGAGCATAGTTATTTTTATGCTACTGAATTTGGCTTGTGAGTGATTTTTGTTCTGGGGGTTTGTTTTGGAGATGGAATCTTGCTCCACCATCCAGGCTGGCATGCAATGGCACAATCTTGGCTCACTGCAACCTCTGCCTCCTGGGTTCAAGTGATTCTCCTGCCTCAGCCTCCCAAGTAGCTGGGATTACAGGTGCCTGACACCACACTAGGCTAATGTTTTGTATTTTTAGTAGAGAAAGGGTTTTGCCATATTGCAGGCTGGTCGCAAACTCCTGACCTCAAGTTATCCACCCAGCTCAGCCTCCCAAAGTGCTGGGATTACAGGCATGAGTTACCGTGCCCGGCCGGGTTGCTAACATTTTGTAGAAAATATTCGCATCTGTATTCGTAAGAAATACTGGTCTGTAGTTTTCTTGTGATATCTTTGTCTGGTTTTGGTACCAGGGTAATACTTGCCTGGTGAAATTAGTCGAGCAGTGTTCCCTTCTCTTCTAGTTTTTGGAAGACTTTATGAGGAATAAATTAATTCTTTTTCAGATGTTTGGTAGAATTCTTTTTCAGATGTTTGGTAGAATTCAACAAGGTAGCCATCTGGGCCTGGACATTTACTTGTGGCTATTTTTTTGATGATTAATTCAATCTCTTGTTATAAGTATATTCATATTTTCTATTTCTTCTTAAGTCAGTTTCAATAGTGTGTGACTTTTTAGGAACTTGTTAATTTTATGTAAGATCTCCAATTTGTTGGCATCTAATTGTTTATAGTGTTTATTATCCTTTTCCTACAGTAAAATAATGGTGGTAATATCCCTCTTTCATATCTGATTCTAATAATTTGAGTCTTCTTTCTTGTTTTCTTGGTTTATTTAGCTAATGGCTTGTCAATTTCATTAATCTTTTCAAAGAACTAGCTTTTGGTTTTATAATTTTCTCTATTGTTTTTCTATTTTGTAGTTTATTAATTGCTACTCTAATCTTTATTATTTCCTCCCTTCTGCTTGCCTTAGGTTTAGTTTGCATTTTTTTCCAGTGTCTTAAGGTGGAAGTTTAGGTTATTGATTTGAGGTGGTTTTTTTCCCCTAATATAGGCATTTATAGCCATACATTTCCTTCTAAGCACTGCTTTAGCCCCATCCTCTTAAGTTTTGGTAAGTTATATCTTCATTTTCATTCATCTCAAAAATTTTCTAATTTCTCTTTTGATTTTGTCTTTAATCATTAGTTATTTGGCAATATGCTGTATAATTTTTGCCTATTTGTCAGTTTCCCGAATTTTTTCCTGCTATTGATTCCTACTTTAGAAAAAACTTCTTCTGTCGAAGAAATCAATAATTTTATCCTACTGTGATAGAAGAACGCATTTTATATTATTTGTATCATTTTGAATTATTGAGGTTTGTTTTATGGACTAGCGTAAAGCATACCCAAGAGAATGTTCCATGTGCAGTTAAAAAGAATGTATAGTCCCTTGTTGGGTGGTGTGTTCTATAGATGCCTGTTAGGCCTAGTTGGTTTATAGTGTTGTTTAAGTCTTTTAGTTCCCCTTTGATCTTCTGTCTAGTTGTTCTGTCCGTTATTGAGAGTTGGATGTTGAAGTCTCCAACAGTTATTTTTGAATTGTCAATTTCTTTCTCTTTTTTTGTCAATTTTGCTTCATGTATTTTTATGCTCTTTTATTAGGTGTATTTTGTTTATAATTGTTTTTATCTTGATAGATCAAAATTTTATCATTATGAAATGCTGCTGTTTATCTCTAGCAATATTTTTAGTTTTAAAGTCTATTTTGTCGATATTAGTATAGTCATTCTA